TTTTACTAACTGGGACGCGAGGATTACCCGCCTGGAAGAACAGTTGTCCGGTCACTCCAAGAAATTGGATGACATCTCTTCCAAGTTGGACCTCCTCTTCACCCATTTGCAGATCTCCTGGGAGTCCCAAGGGAGGACCCCAGCAACCCCCACAATCCAGACCTTCATCCCCTGTCTCTACACCCAAATCAACACCCGCCTCACAACCCTCAGCTCCATTCGATCAGCAGCAGCCCAAGCTTACCCCTCCACCCGTGTTCTCTGGTGAGGACCCAAAGGTGGAATGGGACCGGCTTCACATATCAAGTCCGTTATCCTAACCTTACCTTTTGCTTCATCGAAGCCGTTCTTCGACCACCCAAGAAGAGACATTGGATCTCGTACTCGACTAATTATGTACTAGAGAAAAGAGTGTCTGTCTTTCGTTTTGGGACATGGGAGACTCTATTCTAGCAAGTTTGACCAGCACTTTTTCATGACCCGGGGACCAATTCCTCGAGTAAGTGCTTCGAATTCTTCTAGGCAAGTCTTGGGTTTACTATTAAGAATTTGCAGATTGGGTCACTACACAGCGAACCTACCTGAGCGGGTACAAATGCGACGAGGATGTGAAGGTGAGTGCCATCCTTGCTCGCCTGGAGAGGACTGTATTGAAATGGTGCACCTCTACCTCCAACAAGCAAGGGATGGAAATGTATGATTGGGAGCAGAGGCCGGGGGTGGCTGGTTTTGTGCAGGCACTGCAAGATCGTTTTGCAGACAAGGTTCAACGCCAGGAAAGCAGACAAAATTTTGCGCCTGAGCGAGAAAAAGTTTGATGGTTCCTTGTCCGAACTGTACTCCACCTTCGAGAGTCTAACATTGACTCCTGGGTTGGAGATGAGTGAGCAGGATCTGCTCATTCATTTCCTAAGGGCAGCGCCTGAGCAATACCAGCTTGCTCTATTCTCTGAGGGCAACAAGGACTGACGGTTCTTTGGCAGAGCAGCCCTGGATTTGGAGTCGAAACTCCATGTCCAGGAATCACCTTCTGAAGGAAGGGACCCTCCTCAAAGGGTCGTAGAAGGAGGAAGGGTGCCCTGTTTGCTGCAACTTCAAGTTCAAATGATGATGCAGCATCCCAGGGTGGGACCCCTCCATCTAGGACTGCTTCCTCATCTGCTGCAGATCCTGCAGTTCTTGCCCTGGCTGATGCTTTGATGGGCTTGACTAAGGTCAAGGCCCCAGCCCAGAAAGCACCAAGCAGTAGTAAGGGGAAAGGAAAAGGACGTGCATCTTCCCCTACAACCCAGAGAGTACCTTTACCACATGATGTCCGTTGGCCAGGAAGAGGAAGGACAAGGGAGTCTGCCTGAGATGCGTCGGGGACCACTTCCTCAAGGATTGTCCCAGTATGCCTTGCAGGTCTTCAGGCGGCTCTAGTTCAAAAAACTAGAGTGGAGAGGTGGAAGCAACAACTCCTTTCACTAGTGCTGATTCACCTTGTGATGAAGATGAATCTTCACTGTCTCTCGTTGATTTTTTTTGTGGAGTTGCGTCATCAGGGTCCTTCATTTATGAGGACACTGATTTGGATGAGACGTGGGAGGAGGATGAAGCTCAGTGCCTTGCTATTTTTTTCTTATCCTTGCAGGAAAGGAAGAAGCAAAGGTCAGACCTCATACTGATCTGGATGAGACGTGGGAGGAGGATGAAGCTCAGTGCCTTGCTGTTTTTTTCTTATCCTTGCAGGAAAGGAAGAAGCAAAGGTCAGACCTCATCCTGCTTCGACCCTCTATCGTGGGAGCCAAGTTCAAAGGGCTCTTAGACTGTGGGGCTACTCACAACTTTGTCTCCCAAGACAGTCAACAGGCTGCACTTGGACCAGATTCTTTGTGTTCCCTATTGTTCCCTTTGACCTTGTGTTCTCTCTCAGTGGCTTAGTGCCACCAACCCTAGGATCAAGTGGCGGATCCCTAGCGTTGAGCTACCTGACCAGCATGGGGTCTATCGCCCTTGTATGCTCGCTGATGAGTACCATCCGGCCAGTAGCTGCTATTGTATGCGTGCTCGTAGATTTATGCGACTTTCACGGCAAGACTGACCACACCCGTCTGTTTGTGGCATATGTCAAACAGACTGATGTGGAGACTGCTCCCTGTCCCTCTCAAATTCAGCAAGTGGTTGACCGGTTCTCAGATCTTATGCAGGAGCCGATTGGACTTGTCCATAGGCAGACCAAATGTAAGATTGAGCTCCTGCCTGGTTCGGTCTCTCCCAAGGGCCGACTCTACAGGATGTCCCCTGCTGAACTTGATGAGCTCAGGAAACAGTTGGAGACCCTGACCAGCAAGGGCTGGATTTGGCCCAGCACATCTGAATTTGGGGCACCAGTTCTCTTTGTTCCAAAGGGAAATGGTGAGTTCAGAATGTGTGTGGACTACAGGGGTCTCAACAAGATCACGCGGAAGTCCACAAAGCCTCTACCTCGGATCAATGATCTGTTGGACATGGTACAGGGTTGCACTATCTTTAGCAAGATTGACCTCAAATCTGGGTACCACCAGATTGAGATGGCTGAAGGTGATGTCCACAAGACAACCTTCAAGACCAGGTATGGTACTTATGAGTATCTGGTCATACCATACGGTCTTTGCAATCCCCCTGGCACCTTCCAAACAGAGATGCATCGCATACTCAGGCCTTACCTGGACAAGTTTGTCGCTGTCTATCTGGATGACACTCTGATATTCAGCCATTCTGTCCAGGAGCATGCGCAGCATCTGGCTCTGGTCCTCCAGGCTTTTAACACAACACGTTGCCAAATTGGCAAATTGGGGCCCTATTGGATGCCACATCTAAAAAACAAGCGCAGTGGTTCTCTGCTGATCTGCTAAGACCATCAGCGGCGGAGGTCCTCCACCAATTCTTTTTAAGAATTCGGGTAAAAAATGCTTTTTTTCTCTTTTTTTTTTCAAGGGATGTAGTGGCCTCCTGGGGTCTGGGCAATAATGGGGTTGGGCCCCCGTCCTCTTCCAGCGTGATGTGCTGGGTTGGACGGGGGGTCTGCCGGGCCGGTCGACCGCCCTGTTCGACCGGCAGGCTCCCGGTCGGGGAAGGGCCCCCTGATCCAACTGGGGGACCAGCACTAGAAAAGAGTTCGAAAAAGAAAAAGGAAAAAATGCAACGAGTCGTTAATGAAAGTTGGAGAAGATGGGGGTACTATACACAGACTGTAAGGAAGGAAGGAAGCTCGTGAGCATTAGGGGCATAGCCCAAGTAAAAGGGCCTTTACCCGATATAGGCCTCAGGCCTTGTAAAAATAAAGCAGCACGGGCCTTGAAAAAGTAAAGCATTGTGAAAAGGTATCTCGTCAGAGCTCAGAAACGTGAAAGCAGGTCAAAGGTCAAGTTCTCTATCAACAGGCATATTTAAAACTAAGGCAAAGGGCATTGTCCACCAGGAGATGTGTATGTCATGTCTGTTTGGGTAAGGGTGTGTCTGTACGTGCAGGCAGTGTGTCTGTTCGTGCCAAGTAAAGTGTCTGTTCAAGCAGTAAATGTGTCTGTTCGTTGAGAGTTGTGCCTGTCCGAAAGTAAAGTCAATAGGCACAGTCCCAGTTCTGGTCTAAGTCCAGGGGTCAGTCCAGATCCAGACTTTCAAGTCCAAATTCAGGCCGGGAGGCCTCAGCAGCAGTTGAACTTCGTTTGGGACTCTACTGGGACACATGCAATGCAGGGTCTGGGACAAAAGGAAGGCTGGATTGAGCCAATACAGACCCAGCGAGGAGTAAAGGAGGCAGCCAGCCTCATTCCTACCCAGATCTCCACTGGCTGCCAATGCGTGGAAGTGCTGGTGCACTTGTGCGCTGAGTCAGGAGGAGCAGCGCTGGAGGAGAAGATGCGCTGGAGGAAGGAAGATGCCTGTATGCTGGAAGTGATGCAGCCATAGCTGCCCAGCGATTTGGCATTAGAAGTAGAGGGTTAGTATGTAGCTATGAGTAGTATCCAGAGTAGATCCTCATGAGTATTGAAGAGTGTATATGCATCATAAGAGGAAGGGATTGAGGCTGAGAGTGTTCATTCAAGGTTGGCTATGGAAGATACTTACCTGAGTTGGATGTGATCTGCAGAGGTGGCATTGATGAGTGGTGACCACATTGATGACTTGGAGACTATCTGCAGGGGTAGCACTGATTCACTGGAAGGCATATTGATGAGTTGGCAAGATATTGGTGTTGCGCTGATGAGCGCTGGACTCAGGGAAACTTTGAAACACTTTGTATTCATATTTTTGATAATATAAGCTGTGAAACTCGGTTCTCATCTTCTCTACCTTTGTCTATTATCAGACTACTGTTCGTTGTGTGTGGGAGAACGATGCATGGCATGTACACACTTGCGTGAGATGGTCTCCAGGACCCATGCACAAGGTAGGGAATGGACACATAATGGGAGGCCAAGCATGAGGCATATGTTGTGTTGTAGTCTGTAGTAGTAAAGTAGGCAATAGGCAAATTATCTGGATGTCACGCAAACGGTAGGGAAACAGTGAGATAGTATCATTGAGTAGAAGGTAGGGACAATGACTGAGGAATGGATATTCAGTTAGAATTTGGACATTGACCGGCCAGTGAGGCTGCCAGGCGGCTCTCCCCCACGACCCACCATTTACAGCATCCACATGCTGTGTGTCTGGGTGCTGCCAGTAAGCTTCCCAGTCAGCAAGTGCACCCTGCAAATGAGTCATGGTTCGGGGGGAGAACGGCCGAAGCAACACCCCCCTTGTGTTATCTGACTCTCATCTGATCTACTTTTTCTTTTACTCTCCAACTTCTTCTCCTGTACTTTTGGCTTGCTGGTAATGAGCAGCCGGACTGATGCCCCCCAGAATAGATGTGGCTTTGCCTTTTTTGTTGAAAAAAAAAAGAAAAAGAAAAAAAAGTTGGAGGAGAACACATTCGAATTGAAATGACATTGTGGGAGCTGACATACATGTTGTTGTATGGTGGTGGTTAACAGGGAATGGAGCTCTGGTAGAGGCATGATTGTGCGTCTGCAGGCTTTTCATCGAATTATGCGGCAATGCTGCTCTCTGTTGCAGGCTCCCTTTGTGATGAAAGCCGATCATCTAGAGCGCACTGGACATCAGGACAGTGTGTCTGGTACTGTTCGGTCGTCTAACGAGCTGACTGCTGATGGGAAACAACTAAGTGACTCAACAGAAATGCCTTTAACCGCAGGCACCTCTGAGACAACCAGAGAGACTATAGAGGCTGAAGGAGCTGCAGGGGAGATGGAAACTAATGTTGAGAGAAACAGAGGGCCAGGAATTGACAATGAGGAAAGCAGAATCCATCAGTCTGTGGTGGAGAGTGTTGATGAAGGCGTTGAAACTCCAGACATGAAGCAGCATGAGAAATCGAGTGTGTCAGTGTCTGGAGACATGTCAGTCAAAGGGAGTGACAGTGAATCAGTGAGTGTCATTGCTAAGGAAGCGGAACTGGTCAGTGGTGATGCGGCCGTCCCTAAGCATGAGTATCTTGGACAAGCTGAGGTCAGTTTGGAAGTCCCTGAGGAATCGATGTGCGTATCCATAACTGAGCAGTTCCAGCCAAGAAGTGAAGACGCTAACCTGAAAATCTGGCATGGTTTCCAGCAGGAGGTTCTGTTGCTTGTTGATGATCTGGCAACAGCATTAGAAACGTCATGGAAATGTCATCCATCACTTTCTGACAAGACGGCTCGCATGCTTGCGCTGACTGTCCTGTATTGTGCAAGTGAGAACTGCGGTTTTCATGAGCTCAGAAGTGAGTGCCCTGCTAGGAAAGAAGACGGCCAACCTTGGGTTATTAGGGCACAAGATCCCAACAGGTTGGCAGAGTTTTGGTCAGACATGCAGCAGACGGCAGTGGATGAGTTGCCTACCAAGCAGACGAGAACAACATCATTTTCGCTGAGTCAACAAGTGATTGCAGGGGTGGATGCAGCCCCTCCTTCGAGTGCTGGCGTGCACCTTCTCTCGAAGTTCGTCCGGGACCTTCAGGTAATTTGACTTGAATGCAGTTGAATAAAAAAAGTCTAGGGACCCAATTGATGGTAGGCCAGGAGGGAAAAAGACAAAGGAATGGAGTGATGGAAACCGGGGTAGAGGGTATTGAAGGAATGAGAAAAGTAAATACCCCCGAGATAGAGACGAACGAAAAATCTGAAGCGGAGTAGGGCTGCTATCTGTTAGTTTCATTGCCAAACCTACATCCGCTGACTTTTGGTTTGTGAAAAGCTTCCATGAAATTCATGTTGAAAAAGAAAAACAAAGGGCGCTGCTTTTGTGGCCCGTTGGGAATAAGAGGGGACCCTGCAAGATGCAAAAATAGGAAATCTGCGGAACTACGGGGGGGTGCTCTCTCTGGTTTCCTTCGGCAATTTTCTTTGATGTTTCCGTTGTGGTTGGAAATGCCGTCCACCTTGTGTGGCACTCTCTGTGGGTCAGGGTTGCTGTTGTTGCATGTCTTGTGCTCTGTGAGCCGAGGTTGCGGTTGTTGCTTGTTTTGTTCACTGTCTTGCTCTGAAGGAGTCTCGTCTCGCTCAGTCGCGTACTTGGCTTGTCCAATCTCGTCATTGGGCATTCCATTGTGAAAGGACACTCAGAATAATCCCTGCCCGCTGCCTGTAACTGGGGCCTTGTTTTCTGCTTGTGGAGCAACCACTCATTGTGTGCAAGTAGCCCCAAGCTTTCTCTCTGACGCCCACCGACAAACGCACACATCATCCACCGTTAGAATTTCCACAGAGACGTTGGTGCTTGTGCCTGATATTTTCCAAGCACTTTTTGGTTCGTTTTTGCCTTACCATTGTCTGCATTTACACACTGTTGTTGATTGAACGCTGTGCAGATTGAAAAGCGATGTTGGCAGATCGTGGGTGCAGCAATGGATGTACTACTCTCAGTGCCCTCAGTAGGCCAAGTCCCAGGCGCATTGACCGAGATATGCAAGGCCTTACAGTATCAATGTCGGTGCGTGACCATAGCTTCAAAACATTCTTTCACAGGTTTAGCGATTGGATAAATGTGTGGTTTCCCTGAGACGTTAAACCATCGCGGAGGGATTGCTGGTGTTTCCTTGTAAATACTGGAGCTCTGCACAGCCAAGAGGAGTCTCTCTCTCTCTCTCTCTCTCTCTCTCTCTCTCTCTCTCTCTCTCTCTCTCTCTCTCTCNTCTCTCTCTCTCTCTCTCTCTCTCTCTCTCTCTCTCTCTCTCTCTCTCTCTCTCTCACACACACACACACACACACACACACACACACACAGAGGGGCTGGAACCGCAATGCCTCTATAATTGCGGCCGTGCCTCTGTGTTCCTAGCATGTACGAGCCACGTAGCCTGTGACATCTGTCTGCGCCGTGCCATTCGATGCAGCAACTGTGACTGCGAAAATTGGATGCGGTGCTTCCATAGCCCACACCCGAACCGGTCCGGTCCGGTCTGGTCTGTAGGGGTGGCCACTTGCCATAGTTTTTTTTTTTTGTTTTTTTGTTTTTTTTTTTGTTTTTGAGTAGTCTGCTTCAGCGATGAATATTTAGAAATCTGTGAAACCCTTCATACACCTTTCCCCTGCTTTTTGCATGCCATACTCTATCCTGCCCTCCACATATTTCTTTCCTTCGCGTTGCCCCTACCTCCCCTGCCCCATACTCCTAGAGAACTCCGGCTTCTATCCCTTACCTTCCACCCTCCCCTCCACTCCCTTTGTACTACTAACAAATATATACGAATGAGCATCATTAAGATAATAGACGATATGAAGATCAGAAATGAAATGAACGAAGTATGAAGATGAAGGACGGACACAAAGACTGTATAAGCTGAAGATCTGAACTGAAATGAACAGGAGTATGAAGCTCTGAGGAGATGCAGAGGAGCATACCTTCCCTTTTTACTCTGCCTCCTGAAATAACGTGCAAGTGGGCCGTGAAGGCACACGGGGATGTGGGCAGCTGCCGCTCAACCACAATCAACGTGGGCAGCCTTGTGCGTAAGAGGCACAGTAAAAGGGGAGCTGCAAGAACAATGAAAGGGGTACCCCAAGGACAACTAAAAAACTGTCTAATTATAAAATTCAAAATTGCTTTAATATGTCGGACATCTCAAATGCTCTCGTTGTCTGCAATAGGACAAAAGACTGGTTTGATTCTGAATCTGTTCACCTGGGTGGAATTCGGGCTGTTGTGGGGAAAATCTAAAACACACACAGTGTGACTAGGGAGTGGGGAACAGAAGGGGAATGGGCATAACAGCGCTGCTCGCTTTGTTCTCTCTCCCATGCTGTTCTCGCTGCAGTCCTCAGTCAATGTGACCTGTCCTCTGTGTCTTCCCATGCTGTTCTCGCTGCAATCCTCAGATTTCATTTTGTCAAAACAATACTGTGAGGATCTGTGTCCTCCGCAGGGGAATATGGGGCCCGGCTGTATGCCTTGTGCCCGCCCTAAGTGAAGACGGCCAATATGGGGCCCATATTGCAGAATTCAGAGTCACTATCTTCAGACAGGATCTGGGAGCTTAAACGTAGATAGCATACTTGCGGCGCACTTAAGCAGTGCGCTGTGCGGTGCGCTGCGCCGTCCGCCATGTCCTCACGGATGATGTGTGCGCACAAGCAGTGCGCTCGACCCCCATGCCTGCGCATCCGCTGATGTGCCTTTCTTTTTTTTTTTTTTTTGTGTGTGTGTGTGCTGTTGATACAGGCGCAGGGCCTCACTCCAGTGCTCCCCACAGGCACAAAAGACCAAAATATGGCGGTGTATCTTTCCATGTTCTAGCGGAAGATTCATTCTCATTTTGCACATCTGGAGAGTGGTGGAGCGAGGGCCATACAACGGTAGCCTGGGGCCTCGCTCAACCACTCTCCAAATGTGCAAAATGCCAAAATGAGAATGAATTTTATGCTAGAACATGGAAAGATACACCGCCATATTTTTTGTCGTTTGTGCATGAGTAGTGGAGCGAGGCCCTTGCATCGCACCGGACTACAGCTGGACTTATGCTTACTTGCAGCCCTCATGCGACAGAGGCACTACAACGGACGTGTAGTTGAGAGAGGCCCTACGGATTCTGGCGGCAGGTAAGTTGTAAGAGGGCCTCACTCTACTACTCAGGAGTTTGTGCAAAATTACAATGAATCTTTCACTAGAACATGGAAAGATACATCGCCATATTTTTTGTCGTTTCTGCATGTGTATAGCTACTGCGTGTTTCCACGTTGTTGGTTTTCAACTTGTCACGGACGTTCTCTTTCTCTCTTTTTTTTTTTTTAATCGAAAGAACCAATAAAACACAATGGTCAGTTCTGTCGTTTTCTATACCTGGAAGTAATGAGCCGAAAGCAACGGTTCCACAGACGCGTCCTCATCATGACCGAATTGGACCTCTGAAAGGGCTCAAATACACTGAAGATAGCATGGAGTTGTGTACAGCAAACGTGGCAACACACAGGTTTTGGGGCCGAACGGCCCTGAAAAAAAATTGCGTGGGCAATGTCCTAATTTTGGCTGGGCGTGGGAACTTCAATTGACCCCCTCCCCAACTTTTTTTTTTTTTGGCTGATCCCGAATTTTGCCCATGCGGCGCACCGGGTGCGCGCGTCACGTGCGCAATGCGCAATGCGCCGCATGTGCGCGAGTGGCGCACATGGGATGCGCCGCAAGTATGGTAGATAGTGATTCTGAATTCTGCAATCCTCAGATTTCATTTTTTCAAAACAATACTGTGAGGATCTGTGTCCTCGGCAGGCCAATATGGGGCATGGCTGTATGCCTTGTGCCCGCCCTAAATGAAGGCGGGCCTGTTTTTTTCGTTGAGGGCCTGGCCTGTGACAATTTCGATTCTCTCGTGGGCGCCAGACAGTTACCGTCGGCCTGTTGGTTCCAAGGGCCGAGCTCGCCAGCATCTGAATCTTCCATGAGCCTTCTAGGCTCTTCTTGGCTTGATGTGGAAGCAGGCCTTTCGGGCAATCACGACACAGGATGCAACATGGGCCACGTTGCACGGCCTGAACTGTCTCAGTCCCAGGCCACTGTCTGAATCGGGCCTGGGCGCAGACACGTTAGCCCAACGTGAAGCTACTGGGCATGCGAGCTTCCCAGCCCAGGCAGTAATGTACCTGGCTGCTTTCCATGTAGGAAAGAGCCAGACCGGGAGAGAACATTCGGGAAGTTGCTTCGCAGGCGGCAGTGCTGCCAGCACGAGTGGCGAGCGCTCAAGGCCGCAGGTTGGGAGAGCCAGGCGCACATGGGCGCTAGGGGGAGGAGCTGTGCCAAGCCGGGCTTGGGCACGAGGAAGTCAGTGGAGTTGGTGGTGGCCTTCGGTAGGTGAAGCATCTGGGTGGAGAAGATGAGGGTGAGCATTGAGCGGGCGAGCGAGGACAGGATGTGAGCGCACGTACCTGGTCGTCACAGAGGTCTGCACGGGCGACATCTGCATGTACTTTGGTTGCTGCTGCTGACATCATCTGGTTGCTTCGTCATTAGGATAGGCTAGTTTAGGAGCTGTACGATAGTAGACTGGGCGCTGAGCGCCTGTGGGAGCAAAGGCTTCGGATACATTGTTCATGGTGGCTAGAGAGGGCTTTCATTGACAATTGAGTTCCTTGCTTTGGTTCTCCATTGGTGTGTTTTCGCTGGTGCATTTCTGGTTTCTCGACAGCTCACGTCTATCTGGCTTTCAATGTGATGTTGCAATTTGGAATTCTGGCATTTCGGAGATTTTGCTGTTGCTCATTTTCCTTGCAATTTGGCTGGTTCGAACCGCTTTGCTGGCACCAGCGCATTGGTTATCGGTGCCGTGCCACGCACATGCATGGCAGTGAGTTTCGTTATGACGCTGGTATGATAAGCAGTCCAGTGTCGTGCGGGCGCGCCAGTAAGGCTATGTGGTGACATTGGGGTGTACGGTGGATGATGAGAGCTTGCTGACATTGCATTCAAGCCGAGGATATGAATGACTTAACTCGTCACAGTGAACAACCTTGTAACAAAGCCTGGATAGTGTCTGCTGTATAAGTTCAGCAAGTGCTACCGTTTTGATGGGCAGGCCCCACTGGACTATGACTTGTGCCTCTGACGTTCACAATGAAAATGGTAAAAATGGACTTCAGATGGCATGCATTGGATTCAAAAACTTAGACACAGACAAAGATTGGTGGGGCTTGCCCCTAGGACCACCCTAGTTACTGGGAGGCCTGCCGTTTTCTCATTGGTCATTCAGGCTCATGATGCTCTGGAGTGTGCATATCACTTGCGTGGACCCTTGCGTTTGAGTACACAAGATTTTTGCTATCGGGGAACGATTTTGAGCGGACACAATATACTAATATAGCTGAGTACGGACGCCGCCCGGCCGGGCGGGCCCAGGTGGGCCGCCCGGGCAAACCGGGTGGGCAAAAAAACAGCCCAGAATTTTTTATTTTTTATTTTTGAAGGTGGGGTCCT